ATGCCCCACACCCTCCCCTGTCCCTGTCCCTCCCTGACTACCCCCACCATTCACCCTCCCTCACTGTTTCACTCCCCCCAAAGACCTGTTGCTCCTGCTCTGACCCGTGGCTGTGTGGTGATGGGGTCCCACCTGCCTCTAACTGGCTGTTTGCTTCTGTTTGTCTCCATTTGAAATGACACCATCGAAGGAGGATGAGGACTTTGAGCTGCCAGCACCTCCTGTTGGTCGGCTCCTGCGAAGACATGTCCGAACGATCCGGGAGGTGCGCACGATGCTGACCCGGATCATCACTGACGTGTACTACATCGACGGGAAAGAGGTGGAACGCAAAGTAACTGAGGTACCAACCCATCGGGGGGTGTGGGGTGGACATTCTACAGCGAGGAGGATCTCAGTACCCTCCGACAGCGCGGCGCGGCCCTCGACGCTGACCCTCTGATGGCGTGGCCCTCGGCGCTGACCCTCCGACGGCGTGGCGTGGCCCTCGGCGCTGACCCTCCGACAGCATGCCGCGGCCCTCGGTGCTGTCCCTCCGACAGCGCGGCACGCCCCTCGGCGCTGACCCTCTGATGGCGTGGCCCTCGGCGCTGACCCTCCGACAGCGCGGCACGCCCCTCGGCGCTGACCCTCCGACAGCGCGGCGCGGCCCTCGGTAGTGCTCTGGCGGTGATATTATTATGAAGTCCCCAGTTTGGGACTCACCATGTCCATGGTGAATCCTAAGTGACTGTGACTAATGGCTGACGCGTGTGCATGCAGGTGGAACAGTGACCATTTCACACTGCCCTTTCCTTCTTCCTGCCCATGTGTTGTTTCTTTAGGAGAGTGAGGATCCAGTGGTGGAATGTCGGGAATATGAGAACGAGGTGTCTCCCTCTCGGGCCACTGGCTCCATGACCTCGGGTGACCTCGGTGACATCAGCTCCTTCTCCTCCAAGGCATCGAGTTTACTGCGAGCTTCGAGTGGCACCAGTAGCAGCAGCAGCGTGGGAGGGGGCACTGCCCCTCTGGAACGGGGCAGGGGTACCGCTACCACCCGAGGAAGGAACGGGGGACCAGACCCTCGAGAGTTTGTGGTGCCCAGCGGCAGAGGAATCCACTCGAAACTGAGGTGGGGCGCTACAGAGTGGGAGGGACAGCACGGGGTTAGATACAGAGTAAAGCTCCCTCTACACTGTCCCCCATTAAACA